TTTGAAGGGGTATCGAAGTGGGTGAGACGAACGCCAGTCTGTGCCGACAGAAAAAGAACGACTAGAAACCAAATTTAGCAGAGACACTGCTGCCAAAGCGAGTGTCTTGGGGCAGGGGCAATATTCCACACGGCAATTCTAGTTATCAGTCACTCTCCCAGGGATCTCCACCGCGGCCGTAGTCATCATCTGACTCTACTTCAAATGTGGTGCCTAGAGCTTCCTTGCCCTGGCGGATCATGCTTTGCAGTCGGGTGTTGAAGTCATTCATACGGACGTCAGTCTCCATCTCCTCTTTCATTCGCTTCGCTGCCAAGTTTTTAGCCTTAGCGTCAAGCCTCGGGCTGTTATCGTGCATCTCGAGCAGAGACTCTCGCTTCTTCATCTTCACTGGTGAGATCGAGGCGGCCGATATAGCGCTTTGGCTTCTCCTATGGCCGCGTTTCGCGTAAGGGCTGGGACTTGGTATCCGCGAAGGCTGCTGGATAAACTGACTGGCTGCGAAGGTACTAGGGGACTGTGCACGGGAAGCGACGGGGATTCTGCTAGGGGTATGTGCTTTCATAACCGGTGATGGAGCCGGGGACCTAGTTGATGCAAAACTTGCGGACTCGCGATTCGAGATAGGGCCGGCACTAGCGGAGCTCGGTCTGGTAGGAGGGTGGCGGTTGAAATTGGGTGCGTTAAGACGGCTTACGGGCTTGCTGATGCGACGAACTAGCGACGGTGTTGTCGTTCTTTGAACAGGGCGTGATGAAGCGCGTGACGCAAGAGATGGCTGCCGGTTCACGTTAGCTGGCTCATCAATCATGACCCAGTTTTTCTGTAGCTCATCTGTGGGTGTCCCATATGAGATTTGCCTTCGCTTTGGTGGAGGTGGTGGTGTCGATTCTGGCGTCCCGCGCTCATAGTAGGGTGTGGCATCGGTCTGAGCAGGGGCACTACTGAGAGGGCGGAACTCCTGTGTACGGATCGCCTCTTCGGTATTATAGGTACCAGGTCCAGACGGCCGGTTTGTCGGTTGTTGTCTTATATCCTTCGATATTTCGTAACCTCTGCCGCCTCCAGCGTAGAAACCGCGAAATGTGCCAGTCCTGCAAAACTCCCATACTCTACCAACAACACCGCCAATCGTGCTCATGGCATAAGACTTCCAACCACTCGGGACTGGGTTGTCCGAGTCGATTTCCATGGGCCTCAGGGCGGGAGAATCGAGGCTGTCTTCGTGCGTTCGTCTTGATCCTAGAGCACGCCTGTAGTCGACATCAGAATAGACACTATCCTCAATATAGCCAAACTCTTTCTGGTGATCTCCATTTGGCGTTTCCATCTGACCAGCCAAGACATATCGCCGTTCTTTCGCATTCACGTCAAGGTCGAAATAGGAGGGGTCGCCCATAATGTTATCATCGAAGATGCCATCGCCTGTCCTTCTCCAGTCATTGGCGGGTGTCGACTCCCTCGCACCTATTCGCTTCCTCTTGGCATTGGATATGGGCGCCGGTGTCTCTGATTGCAGGCTTCCAGTAGATCTCCCAAGATAGACGGAACTCGACACCGAAGGGGAGGTCGGCGGTCGAAAGATGCCGGGATGCACGCCTGAGAAAGATGCGCCCCTGCCACCGCCACCATTTGGGTCGAAGTGATAAGTTCCTGACATCAGAATCTGGGAGTTGAATGACATTTCTAGTGCGGTGATTATACGAAGAGATGGGAAGGTCTATTAATGATAAGATGGGAAGATTGCAGAGATTATTGGAACGAAAGCGCAAGAGCGAGTAGTCACGCTGTCAGGGCCTCTAAAGTAGGGTCGTCGTCGTGTATATCTGATCCGGTATCGTGAGAGGCCGAACTTCTGAACGCGTGCGCACACAAACAAATTCCGAAAACGCCACGCAGTTGCTCGTTTGTTCGAATAGAGGGTATATGGATTCGGATGTTGTCGCTATTGTCGTCGCCGGAGTCCTCGCTCCCGGTGGCCGTTGGGGATGTTCGGTTCCAACAATGTCGATACGCGATATGATAATTCACGCCTTATCTTGAACTCAAAATGAGAAGTATCGCTAGCTAATGCAAATGCGACCGTGGACAGGAGACAGGTGCACCAGTTAACGTGCAGCTCGGGCCAGCTCTACCCGGTCTTTGGCGCGCATGTGTTGGTCTACAAGGCCAGGGACGACAAGGTAGGATTTCTGCCTGCGTGAAACAGAAGCACGGAAGGACGCGCGAAGGGAGAATGTCTGCTCAGGACGATAACGGCCGAATGGTGTTGCAGATAGTTTATCGTTGTTTGTTGCGCAGGTTTCAGCCCCCCGTAGACATAAGACACATGACCCAAAATCGGAGCTTGGACACGGCTAATGCCTGCTGCTGTAACTGGAGTGACGTATTGGGAGGATTGATAGAAAGCTTATTCGATAGTAAGTGTGTGTGTATATATATATCGGTCGTGCACGGCTTCGGAATTTCGTCCCAGTCGCGATAAACTTTGCGACCGTTGCAGCTATCTACACGAGGGCATGCACTACCCGTCCGTGGTTCAGGAGATCAAACGAAAACTACTGCTTTGCGCTCGATTAACACAAAAGGAGCTTACGTTGTTGTGGTCGCGTTGCTGGGTCAGCCTGCATTAATCAAACGTTAGTCAACAGCCTAGAACAGAACTGGAGTTGCCGATATTACTGATAAGACCCCCTGGACCCTTGGTCAGTACAGGTGATATGGCACTGCGGGGCACCGCGGGGCATACCTACCCCAGAGCCGGTGCTCAACTGAGCACAGCCTACGGTGACAGAATAAAGATACCACCCATGAAGAATAGAGCAAGAGAAATTTATGGCCCAAGGTGTATCCCTCTATTATTATTTTCCTAGTCCGTGGGTATAGGTCTAGGTATCTCTGGGTGGTTTGTCCGTACCCTTCATGATGGGTTCTATCCTCTGTCATCTCCTGTGTCATGGTGGAAACAAAAGCCTAATACCAGTATGCCATCTGCCATATGCCTTGCTTTTTTGCAGAGCAAACAAATCAAGTATTACAGGCGCAAAATGCCCTAGCAATCACATTTGAAACCCATCTCTCTTAAGGTGCCGAGCCATTCTCCTTGTTGTAGTAGGCTTCCTGCTGCTGAACCTTTTCGGATTTTACACCGCCGTCAACACCGTCTTCGCCGTGAACGTGTACTTTGGCTCCCCAGAACTCATCGCGCTCCTTGAGAATCTCCTCCGCCCACTTCTTCGTCTCCGGGAGCACTATTTTCGTAGCGACGTAGGCGAATTCGCCGAGATCGAGAGCCTTGTTAGCACGCTTCTCGTATTCGACCATCTGTGTCAATAGCTCCATCTTGTCGAGATCGTGAACGAAGTGGCTGTCGAGCGTCTTCGAGTCCTCGTATTCCTGCCAAATCGCCCGAATCTCCGCGCCCGCCAATCCGCCATAGACACCCCCCAGCAAGTTATTGGTGATATAGTCCATTGTCTCGGCCTCGCGACGGCTCTTCTCCGGCTTCGCTACGCCGTCGACTGGCGTGATGTCGCCGACAATCGCCTCCGCCATATCATGGATGAGGCACATCTTCATACACTTGAAGAGGTCGAGCTTAGGTGCGAGGGTCGGCGGACAGAGCATAGTCATGAGTGACATACGGTACATGTGGTCGGATATCGATTCGCCTCTACAAACGGTAGTGCCAGTTAGTAAGTATAGATGACCGAGCTCATGGTGGTTAGGTTGGTACCTTTCTATGCCGAAACGACGCCATCCTTCGCGCTTGCCCGTCTTCAGTCTCTCGAGTATGTGGAAATAAGGCACAGGCGAGTCGCTAAGCTCGGCGGGTGGTGACGGAGTCAGAGTAGCCAAAACCTTCTGCACCGACCATGATCCAGAGACCTTTGGTGTTTCTACGATACCAGGATCTGTGGCTCTCTGAGTTAGTGTTTTGTATAAGTAGGTAGAAGATGCGACCGACCGGCGAAGCCTTTGCTATCACTGTTGCTGGTTCCTGAGGTCATTGTGTCTTTATGGCGTATCGTAGCCTCCTACGAAGTTCTATGCAGACCACGTAGCTCTCCAAATCAACCCTTTAGAAGGAACCTGAATCACGAAGGACGAGAGTGGCAGAGTTCGAAATGGGTACGTAGGTAGTTAGGAAATGAGAGGAGAGGGGGAAGGCGGGAAGTAAGAACTGGGTCAAGAAATAAATAGACTCAGACGCGAGACTCTACCAGGCACAAGAGCTGGTGTCACCGCCAGACTTGACGGGAATAATAAGCAGGTCTTTGTTTGTTGACGGAATTCACTATTACACAAGAAGATGCTCGAAATTCATGGTTCAGATAAGTGAAAGCTATGTGAAGGTAGGGACCTACCCCACTAAGGAACCGCCGAATAGGTACCACGGTAGAGGGTCCCAGATAGCGCACCTCGTGCTAGAGCAGTACTACCGGTAGAGTGCTGTATTGACATTACCCATCATGCTATTGGATGGTTCTAGATAGGTAATTGGGCTGGCCGGTACGCTACCGGTAACGGCTTTCATCAGCATCTTGGTTCCGTGGAACTCTTGGCATTCCATGTATGGTGACCTCAGCAAAACGCGGATGCAGCGTCAACATTCCAGCCTGTCGGTGTAGGATGATCAAATTTATCGTAGGCGTAAAAGGGGGTAATTAATCATTTATTGTCTGTGCAGAATTAATAATTCTTTGAAGACGCTATTGTGAAGAGTCTGTTTCATATTTGTCTGACATTTAGAACAAGTCTCCAGTAGAGCATCCAAACTAAAGATTTTGATATGAAGCATATCACTTTTGTTGGATTCTCAAAGGCTACAGTGTAGTTAAGTGTTATTCATAGGACAATCAAGGTTATAGCATAGACCTGATTTCTAGGAAGAGCACCATAAGTTTAGCTCACTTGACTGCCTAAAATGTTGCACCTATATATATGTTAATTCCATCTCAGTTGGCATGAAGACTGGCTAAGCTAGTTCAACGTTAAACTCCGAATTGGTGTAGTGGCTAACATTTGACGCTCTCAAAGTGGAACCGTCAAGCCCGGGGTTCGATTCCCCGATTCGGAGCATTTCTTTTAGCCTTTTTTTTTCCTTAACCACTTTTCTCCAGGGGTTCTCTCGAATACCCAATCTTTTTTTATTGTAGAACACTTATCAATCACGCTGTCTTGACTGTTTCAATGATCCTGCCGAGCCTGCCTACTTGTTGCCTTAACATCATGCTATTTTAACAGCCTATTTCAGTAGTTCTAGTATGAGTATCTTGTTCTTCTCAATAGATTCCATGAGTTCGCTAACGAGGACATACTCGTCCGTGCCGTGTGCCACTCGGATGGACCCGGGACCATAGAGCACCTTTTTATGATCGCCGCGCAGTCTCGGTATATCCGTCCCGTATGCCATCGGTTCGGCCTCGAAGCCTTCAAACTCCCATTGCAGCACCATCTCGGTATACTGGAACTTGAAGTCAACATCGACGTCGGAATGCTTATCTATCACCGCCTGCACCGCCTTCTTTATCCCCTCGATATCTTTTGAGACGCGAATGCTACAGAGCGCCTTGGCTTCGGCAGCTAGGATGTTGTAGCCCGCACCACCCTCGATCTTCCCGATGTTGAGCGTTGACGGACCGAGAAGGTCAGAGACAGGCCACTCGACTGCTCTAAGGTCATTCAGCGCATCGAAGAGAAGCAGTGTTGCACTCTTGCCCAGATGCGGATATCCAGAATGACTGTTGAAATCTCCACATCAGCTTTGTTTCTGCTCCCAAGAACAGTTTGTGAAACCAGCAAAGGAAGTCCAACACGACGTGCTTACCAGGCTTTTCCATGAGCCACGATCTCGAACACAAGATTACCCTTGTGTCCCTTAGCCACCTTTCCCTCTGTAGGCTCAGCAAAAAGACCAGCTTCCCAAGTAAGCCCCATATCATTTGCCGCGATCATTCCCGGACCACCCTTTTCTTCACCCACAACCCACAGGAAGCTCACGTCACCCTCCTTCAACTTTCCCTCGGCGCGCAATTCTTCAATTGCAAATATCTGCGCCACCATTGGTCCGAGGTCGTCGCAGGCGCCACGTCCACGGATCACGTCGCCGTCAATACTGAAGGGGATGTGTGGTGGTACTGTATCCATGTGGGCCGTCGCGAGGAGCCGGGCTTTTCGCTCCTGGCCCAAGTATGCGTAGACATTATGTCGTGTAGAACCCGGCTCGATAGGAATCCTCTCCGCTGTGAAGCCGCGACTCTGGATGTACTTCTCCAGATATTGTCCGATTTCGAGCTCCTTTTCACTAGTGCTCTCAATGTTCATAAGCGTCTTTAGGAGCTCGACCACCTCCTTTGAGTCAGTCTTAGCTAACCAGCTGTTGGATCTTAGATGCGATGCACGTGGGTATAGTTATAGTTCATTACAGGAATCTACTTACCAGTTACCTAAATCGCTGGTGAAGTGTTGGCGTGTGCGCAGGTACCAGCTCGGGCGGGGTTAGGCCTGAATCTGCGACTTCGCTGCGCTTTAGTCTGTCTCTCTACTTGGCGGCTGTGGGATGCCTAGCTAAGTATGCTTGCAATGCGAGACACAGCGCGATGCCAATTATTCGCTAAATGAAACTTACACGATGTGATATCTAAATAACTGAGTGTCAATTGAAACCACCAGAACGAATGTCCTCGAATAGCTTGGCAGACACATTCTCGACCTTGAAAACAACCACAGCAGCGTTGATCAAACCCACTCAAATGCGTCTCTCATTTAGTAGATTCGGAAACAAATGATAGAACTCTATGTTAATTCATCACTGCTAGTCAGGGTATCGTAAAATAGATGTAGGGGCCAGTAGGCAAGTTGTGTAGCTCGACCCCCTTATGTGCTATTTTAGAGCACTTCGGGCGACAACAAACCAACAACGTTACAATATGATTCTCAAAGGACGGACAATTCCGTCGAAGCTGTTATGTAGTTAACATTCTAACAGTTCCTAGGTAGCTATGATTACAGGGGTCAGTAGGTATGTACTAAAAGAATAGCTGACGTGTTGGTGACGCCGTTACGACGACACGATGCTCAACGACTCATCATAGAATCAATATCATGAGCGACAGTTAACGCAACCGCCGACCATTAAATCCAGAGAAGATGTTAGCACAGGGTTAACATTAAATACTCGGGGGGGTTCAATATACTCCATTGATGATAGAAGTTCATAATCCTTTCTTTTTCAACATTTTTCGCTTTTAACCTAACATTGACAGTTTAATCCTAACCCAGCGCTCACAAATGGATAAGATACTTCAAACCGGACTCTCAGCCGGCATGGCTGCAACGTCGGGCTTGCACTCTAGCAAGCCGAGCCGCCCCGACCCAAAGTACGATGGAAAGCATTTGCTACCGCAATCTTTCTGCCCTGATGCCCTTGCACGCTATTCAGTCCCGACGAAGGGTGGCAAGCCGATTGAGATGTCTTACATCTCTATTGGTGCCTGGTCATGGGGTGACTCGGCGACGTGGCACTGGAAACCAGAAGAGCTTTCCGCCGTCAAAGAGGCTTGGATGCACTTATACGAGCAAGGTATCAACTTCATTGACACGGCAGAGGCCTATGGCAACGGAAAGAGTGAAGAGATCGTAGGCGAACTCGTCAACGGTCTTCCGCGAGACTCATTTGTCGTTCAGACCAAATGGCTTGGCCTCCCCGTCGCGCCTACCAACATACTCCATTCTTCAGATGCTCCCTTCAAGTCCCTGGAGACCATCGTAAAACGCATGAAGTTGGAATACGTGGATATCCTCCTCGTACACGGACACATCCATTCGCAGAACATATCAACTGTCACTAAGAGTCTCGCCAAATGCGTCGATCAAGGGCTCGCACGCACAGTTGGCGTCGCCAACTACTCTCTAGAAGACTTCAAGGATATGCGCAAGGAGCTCGCCAAGTACGACATTCCGCTCGTGATCAATCAATGTGAATTCAACATCCTGCGCCGCGTACCAGAGCTCGATGGCGACATGTCTGCTTACAGGGAGATGGGTGTTCAGTTCCAATCATACTCGTCACTTGCACAGGGAAGACTGACGGGAAAGTATAATGCGGAACACCCACCACCGTCCACTTATCGCTTCAGCAACTACGACATGGAAGATATCCAACCTACTCTCGCAGTGCTGGAGAAAATCGGAACGAAGAGAGGAAAGAAACCGGCAGCGGTTGCGCTCAATTACAACTTGAGCAGGGGGGCGCTGCCGGTCGTGGGAATTCGTAATCTAGCCCAAGCTGAACAGGCTCTTGAGGCGCTCGGGTGGAGGTTGACGGAGGACGAGGTTAAGATGATCGACCAAAATAGTTTTATTGGGAAGAAGACAATGCTTTGGCAGCAGGGTTAATCACAACTATGGATTAATTCAACCGTTTCCATATATATGAGGTAATTCTTACCTATTTACAAAGTACTTAAACTGAATACCACGCTTGTATACCTACTATTTCACTGAAAGGGATATTTTAGTTTCGCTGTCTCTTAGCCATAATAACACACACTTTGATCGGCCCGGTAACCAAGAGAATAAGTAGCCAGTCAAGCCTTATTCTACTTTGATATATACTTAATGGTACTGATTCACACATCGATATGACGATTCATATATGTGAGCTCTCTATTAATGCTGCTTTGTTACTATGAGATTCATAGGGGGATGGATGGCTCAACTCGGGTCTTTCGGCTTCTTTTCAACCGGGAATATTTGGTTTTATATATATTCGTCGAATTATCTAGCTTCAGTCCTTAGTTAAGCCACTTATATGTTTCGGCTCGAGGCAAGGGCCAATTAGCTGACTAGTGAAGACCGAGAACTGCTTCAGTAGTATGACTCGTATCACTTCGTACGGCGTAGCGTTCGTCATACCGCGCAGTGCTTACATGTTACTTCGTTCTATAGCGTTTAGCTGTCGACAGTTAGCTAGTTGCTAGAGAAATTCGAATATTACCAATTGAATTGTTTGTTCCGATCTTTGATCACTTTCCGTCGCCAGTCTTATTAGTATTATAATAACTAAAGTCGGAAAAAATGGCGATTACTGCGCAGGACGAAAGTGAGCGTTGTGATATTACGGGCTTATTCAAAGCAGCTTAGAATAGATCGGATACTCTCTTGCTGACTTTAAACGCAATATAATTGGTTGAGGACTCTACCAGCTATACGGCAAAACTAGCAATACTTTGCGGCTGACCTCACTAGCCAAGTTGTGTTACTACGAAGGACTCAGTTGATAATGAAGCTATACCAGAGGGGTAAGTCACATGTTTGGTATCATGTTGCGGTCTCAGCCCTATGAGGCTATGACCTTTAAGCGCTTACACCGCCGTTCGCTCCAGGTTGCTGACGTTGGACGTCGTCACTTTATGAGTAATTGCAACTTGAACGTGCTAGTCGTATGTCTGGGCCACGCCACCGGCTTTTCTTATTCGTTTGAAGGACTTGCTCTCTGTCTAGTTCTTACTCGTAGTGGTATTATTGTATCGGCCCTGCCTAGGCCGAAAGACGTATCAGTCCTTCGCAGCTGCTACTACAGAAACTGTGACCGACATTTCAGAGTAGTTATCTGGTTTGAATGTGAGAGAAATCTGTTTGATCATGTGCTTTCCGCCCAGCCAAGGCAATCGCTTCGTGGCGTATAGAGAACTTGTTTCCGCTGTATCACACCGACCATGCTTCATGGCCTGTCACCCAGTCATCTTCGGACCATGCCATGGCTAATATGATTGAAGTGAGATTCAGACCGAGCACATTAATAGTATCAGGCACGTTATTGGATTAGCTACGCAATCAAGCTGATTCATGTGACACCAAGCCAGATGTTGATGCGGTATGCGGCGTAAACAATCACCGACATAGGACATTCTTTCTATAATAAGATACCGTAGATTGACTGACGACAATGAAGGAAAAGGCCAGATCCATGTATCTGAATAATCTATTGGTCTGAAGCTTTAGATCTCATAGCCACTTTACGAAATCAAAACCCAAGGCCGTGGATGGCTCCGCGGCTCCGATTGCTACTGTGAC